CTGCACTGTGTCGCCTGCCTCCACCCCATCAGAGTGGTCCTCCCTCACACCATCCGCTGAGTGTGATGCTCTTGCTGTGTCTGTGCAACAGTTCCTCAGGTTCTAGACGCCTGGCGGCAACTCTTTACTTATGTTCATGACAGAACTTCCTTCACCAGCTGACCCACAGCCTTAACCCGGTGCCTTCACATCGGCTAACGCAGAAATAATGTTAAATAATACATACTCCATCATCCCACTCGGCAAACGTTAACACTAGCACGCAAGCATTTTAAATGCTGCGCGACTCAAAAGCCATAGCATTTCCCCTTTTTATCCCCTTCAACCATCACATCTGTTACGTTTCCGCAAAATTACGTACACATCATACACTGAGCTAAAGAACTAACGAACAGAGAGTTAAGGGGATCCATCATAACAACTCTGTTTCATTCTCCAGCCTTGTGTTGTTTATAACATTCTCTGCCAACGCTTTGGCTTTTTTGTTTAGGCAGCCGCTGCACGATCTACAGCCACTGCAGTGGAGAGGGAAGAGGGATAGGGTTGAGATGCAGGTTGAATACTAAAAGAGGTGTGCCTTGTGCTGAGCTTGCTTCACTGGCTCATTTCATTTCTTATCAAGCTCTGATGTGGGTGCTATAGTTACAGGCAGTTAGCTGCAGCTCCTCCAAGAAACAATCGCTGCTGCGTCTTGGACCAGGAGTTGCAGCTAAATATTTTTCCTGCGAGGAGAATACTCTCAGGGCCATCTTTGATTTTATTTTCATTTCATGCTAAACCCATCGCATTGGGTGGGTGGGGGGAAACTCTGGCGAGGAATCGAGACGAGGCGTAGCCGTGGTGGTCTGTCGCCCTGTTGAAGATTGTCATTTTACGAAGAGACATGTTATAAGTTTGGCTTTTGGGCATTTTTTTCTGCACTGTGAAAAGCTGTTGGATACTCTGTCTCTTTCTCACTCTCTCTCTCTCTCTGCCTGAACACACATCATGCTTTTTAAGTATCACTGCAGTGGTAGTGATTTGGGGGCAGCAGCAGTGATCTAGGGCTGCACTAGCATAAGTTATGCGCTTTCCTCAGGTATGGATTTACTTCTCGAGGAGGGTATAATTCTGGTGGGACAACCAGCCTGAGCAGGTGGGTAGAATGTCCGGGTTCAGCATCGCTGTCTTGGAGAGTAAAGCAGAAGGCGTTTGCAGCTCTATCGAGCTAGATCCGATTACTTGTAGACGTCTGAATCTTCGTCAGTCAAATACTAAAGAAAAGAGGGCGCGACACCCAAAGCTGGGAAGATGCAAAGACAGACAGAACTATCAGTGTTTAGAAACTGGAACATGGGCCATGGCATTTCTCTTCGGAAGCAGAAATCTTTGACAAACCTTTCAGTATTGGGTGAGAGGGAGAGCGTCCTGTACTCCTTTGAAGGCAGCTGGGCAGACAAAACAGCAAAATCCTGTCAGCCTTTCAGCCGGGAGTTCAGATCGCAGGCCGTCTCTCTGTCCAGGGCACTTTCCAAATCGGAGCATTCACTCTTCCAGGAAAGCAGCCCTGGCAAGGGAGGTGGTAAAGTGGCTCTGGCTGTCAACAGCAGTAAGCTGAATAAACTTCCTAAATGTCAGTGGGCTGAAGTGAAACCCACAAATAAAGTTTCTGAAATGCGTGCTGGAGATGGCAGCAAGTCAGATGATGAAATTCTGTCTATCAAGTCTAAGGTTTCTAGGAAGCAGAAGACACAGGCTGAAGAAGGCTGCCTTCGTGAAGGAGTTGCACAATTAGATGAGGATATTATTTTGACCATGCTGGGAGACCTAGAACAAGTCCTTTACACAAATATACTTGGTAAGCTGTGGGATTTTATTCTATAGTCGGTTGGTTTTGTTGTAAAGATTACTAAATTGAATTGGAGTGACTGCTGCTTACTTTTAGAATTCATAGTGTTTTAGTATTCAGTTTCTTTTGCACTGTAAAGATGTGAAATATCATATCAATATATGAGATCCACTGGGAAACATTAAAGTAAACGTTAGTAAACTGAATAATAAAGTTTATTACAAAATTAATATTAGTAAATCACAAAGCGATTGAAAACGAAAGCGATGCTTGTTAAAAAGGGCTGAAAATATGATTATTTTCTAAGAATTGTAAAGATTAAAGACCTGTTTAATTAGCCCTTGCTTCACCGTGTTATCACTTCTACTGTATGTGACATCCTTGCAGTTTGCAGCATGAACAATGTCTACCGAACAGTTGCTAGTCTCTCCGAGCAAATAAAATGTTAAAATGGTTCATTTTTGACAGATGGTAGGATTACAGGAAGGAACTAATGGACTAAAACAATTACAGTAACGGTATTATAATATAGGCCATACATTGAATACTCTGGCAATCTGCTGCGGTTTATTTTAATGCGTCTGTACGGCATTGCAGTTGTTAACTCTCTTCATTCACTGAATGCCATCAAGCATTGAGGAAATGGAAGACATGAGGAACTGGAATCCACACTGATCAAAAGCATGGTAGATTTCTGCATCAATCTAAATCTGTCTACATGATAAATAATAACAGATAGAGAGGAATGCAAATCTCGAGCCTATTGCTTAGATTACTTCCTTGTGGTCACTCACAACCATCAATTGTGCCTTGCTCTGAAGTTTTGGTTGTGCAATATTAATTATTAAAGCCACAAAGTCCTGTAATGTTTTTAAATGTTTTATATAAATTGCTGACAGTTCCTTATTTAGGTAGAGACATTGCCCAAATAGATATTAATGCATGTAAGCGTAGTGTTGCTAATGAATAAGGAGGTTAAGACTGTCATGCCCATGACCTCCTTTATCCCTTTGCTCTTGTCTTTCCTTTACTTAAGATGCCATTTCCTTTCCAAGGGGCACTAGCTGAACAAATATGAAACACCATGACAATAGTTTGCCATTTGTATCAGTTGAATTCACATCACAGTCCACATTTCAAGATGCTTTCCCATCAACTGCATAAAGATACATGACTTGCGAACAGCAAGTTTAAATGGGCAGGTCATTTTCACATGTTTTTTTATTTAATAAACCTTTTGTGGCTGCCTAATATCACATGTGGAATGTTACTGCATTCCATGTGTTTTATCCATTGCAAAAAAAAACAATAAGGAGGAAACCTAAATTCAAGCTGCAGTGCGAAAATGGTGTAAAGGCAAACTGAATGTTGTTAACGTTCGTTAAAAGTGCCGTGTTTCACAAATGGTACGTTTTAAAAATTAATGATTTGAAAAGCACTCCATTTTTCTGGAAACCGAGTCTGCTACAGGAATAGTAATGGAGAGGAGGAGCCTCCTCAGGATGTTTCCATGTTAAGGCTCCCTTGTCATCGATTGCTTGGTTGTGACTTGTACGTTCTCGTGGCCATATACCAAGCGAGAAGAACAGCCAATGTGCGAGGCACAGCCATCTCTAGCGTCATTTGCAGAACGCAAATGGTTATTAATTTAATAATTGCTTTTTTGAAAATTATATCATTTTGAAATAGGTTTCCGTTTTTGAGTTGTACCTCATAACCTGATGTTTTCATGAAGAAAAATGCTCTTAAACATTCCTGTCAGGGTAATTGTAGGTTTGTTGTCTCCACTCCCTGCCCCCCAGGTTTAACTGAAACATGAAATATTAAAACGCTAAGGAGTTATCCCTCCACATTACATCGCTTCACCAAATCCTTATCGCTGGGGCCTAACGTGCAATTTGCATTTAGGAATCGTTCAAGTATCAAATGTGAATTCTCTGTCTGTATCGGACATCTCCCTCCCCCCCACAAGAAAAAAGAGGAGGGAAATCTTTCTTTGCCACCATCCGGTTAATTTATATTCAATACATCAGGGATTTTTCTCCATTTAAACTGCAGGTAACATTACTGTGATTACTGGATTTGAGTTCATACATGTATAGAGGTTTTAGAAATTGTTGTACCTAGGTTGCACCTAACGATATGGTAGCACTCTCACCTCTCAGGCAGAAGCGTGTGAGTTCAAGCGTTACATCGGGACTTTGAGCTCATAGTCCAGGCTTAAATGTCAGTGCAGTTGCCCAGAGATGCACGGCATTATTAGGGATGCCATCCTTTGGATGAGATGTTAAACCAAGGTCCCATTTGCCATTTTGTTAAAGCTTGGACATCAAAGATCCTTTGGCACTATTTGAAAAGAGAAAGCATTTTCTGCTAGTGTTTGTCTACAAATACACAGTCACTACATCTGGCAGTAAATTCCTGGAAAGCACTTGGAGACGTCTCGACAACATGACAAGGTGCCATATCAAATGCAAAATTATTATTGTATGAACGTAACCATTCATTTCTCTTTCCCCACCAATTACCTTTTCCTAAAAACAAAAAAATTCTAGATACTGCACTTCTAAAAGCTCTCTGTTGGTATTTCAGTCTTCTCATAGTGCAGGGAAAGTAATTCTCTGGAAACGAAAAGATTGCAGTTTGATGTGGTTCCAGTTTCAAGAGATCTGTGATGTATTTTTAGTATTCAGTGGCATAAGAACTAGGTATAGCTGGTGACAGCTGTCATGAATTTGACAAACATTTGCTGCTGAGAGCAAAGAAATGAATTGTACTTCAGATCTCTGCAGGGTCTCGGCATTTGGTCTTCCTGTTTTGTGCCTTCGGTAATCATTCTGTTCTACATCCCTTTGGCTCCCACCTCCAGCTCAGGTACCTAGCCAGCAGTGTTAAGTGCTTTGAGACATGAAAGGCGCTATATACATGTAAATTGTATTGCATTGTACTGTGGTAGAATAGGCAATCAATGGATTTTGAGTAAACTAGTAAAACTGAATATTTTAATGTGATATGAATTAAGTTCAGAAGGTGCTTTTTGGATGGAGAGGATGGCCTTGGGTTTGATAAAATGTTATTGTGTAACCTGGTGTGCTTTGGAGTAGAGGTACATGGTACGAAGAGATTCAAATAACAATGTGAGGCTTTTACTACTCATTTCCATTGTTTACAGGAGAAGATCCAGAAGCCAGGAGAATGAGGACGGTGAAGAACATAGCAGATCTGCGACAGAATCTAGAGGAAACTATGTCTAGTCTCCGAGGAACCCAGATAAGCCACAGGTATTGCTTTGCTGTGTTGAGGAGTACATTATCAGCCCAGTGATGTTTGATCGCTGGCTGTTAGTGTGACCTGGAAATGACTGGCTCCGACAAAGATCCTCTTAAACCCGTTGTTCATGAAAAAGCATTTGTCTTCTAGAAAAGGTTAATATTTGCCAGATATTATTATGTTACTTGGATCTTTCTAATATATGAGTATATTGGAACTTCTGAGTTGCAGTAGCATTAAGTACTATTTGTGCTATTTATTAGCAGGATTTATTATGAAATCCAAATCATACAAATTGCGACCAGCTATACTTCAAGTCAACCCGTAGGTTCTCTTCACCTCTCTGACCTAATTGCAGTGCAGGGTTCCAGCAAATTTACTGAACTTCTGCAGAGAAATAACTGCAAGTTAGATAAGTAATAATTCTTCAAGGGCCTTTCTCATTGGGAGGGCGTCTCAGAGCGCAGGTTCCTTCGTAGTACAAATGGTTGTAAGTAATTGATATATTTTGAAGTTATTACTTAACTATTAAGTGTAAATTAAGCCATGCTTCAATATGAATAATGGTCAGGTTTAAATTGATATGGATTTCAGGATAGGATTTCAATAATAACATAGCACTTACTGTTGGCAGCTTCAGTTTCCTCCTTGCTTTATTGAACTACTACATGTGCTGCTATTGAAACCAAGCCAACGTTACACCTCTTTATCACATTTTAAAACATAAATGCCTTTAAAACTTCTCTAGACTTGCCAATTTTGGAGACGTCTAAACCTGACACAGGTGGGATATGACAAAGGCAGAGTAACGGTTTGAATTCTTAGATTTGCTTTCCTGTTTGATTCAAATTCAGTGCAAAACTTAACCTTCATAAGAAGGGGGGGAAATGGTTTCTGTCTTACAAAAGAGACTTTTGATAGCCTGTCTAGGTTTGGGAAGTTTCCAAATGCACCACTTACAAATCGAAATCAGGTGTCCACAAGCAGATGGTTGGCAATCGTTTTCTATTCCCATATTTCACTTCCTGTTCCACTTTGTCCAGCTGGATAGGGATCGATGGTTAGGGCTGAAGCCATGATTTCGCTCGAAACTGCTTCATGATTCCCTAATAAACAACAAAAAGAAAATCCTTCGATTTGATATAGCGCACTCTTTCAGGTTGGAAGCAAATCTCTAAACACTTCACAGGATTTTGCAGTCGAGCGCAGCAGCCAATTTGCACACAGTAATGCCCGGCAAATAGCCATGAAGTTAATAACTGGTGAGTCACAGTGAAGCCATTCTGGCCACATCGAATTGTCCCTTGAGACGGTTGCACACTTCTATCAATTAGTTTCTTTTCTAGACTGGCCAAAAAATACTTAAACATGTTTCTGGTGAAAGAAGCAACGCATTTTCTTTTTTTTTTAAAAAAACTATTGATTTGACATGTGAAGAAATAAACATTTTCATGAGATTATCACAAGATTATTTTTACTCAATTGCTGTAGAGCTCATTATGTGAATTGAGTCCAGAAGAATATTGATTGTGTTCTTTGTCTTGGCAGCACTTTGGAAACTACATTTGATAGCACTGTTACCACAGAAGTCAATGGGAGAAGCATGGCAGCTGTGTCCAGCAGATCTACGTCCATGTCATGGAGGCTTGGCCAGACAAGCCCAAGGCTTCAGGCTGGCGATGCTCCTTCTCTAGGTACTGGTTATCCTCCTCGAGGCAACGCCAGCCGCTTTATACATCCTGACACCTCTCGGTTCATGTACACCACCCCCCTACGAAGAGCTGCCGGATCACGACCCAGTAATGCATCCTCAATGGATATTCCCGAGAAAGGTGGTTCTGATCTTGACATGGCACCTGTTGATGCGGACTTGACTGGTTATATGAGTGATGGGGATTTACTGGGGAAGAACATGAGGAGCGATGATCTCAACAGCGGGTAAGTCACAATATTTTCTGCGGTGTTCCTTAGACTCAAGTTATAAACAAAAGTTAGATTTTTGCTTTGGTTAGCCAGATGCAGAAATCCATCACTGTGCTCAAGAGTGACCAAACCAGACTGAGAGTTCCATGGCTGCCATCTATAGGTGGAAATTCCATGTCTGGAATGCAATGCACACACACTCTCTCCCTGGAGGGATGCACCAGGCTCACCTAATTCAAATTACATGACAGCAAAGAACTGAATAAATGCTTGAAATGAAATAAATGAATCAGCGCTTAATTGCTTGTGACAAATGAAGCAGTCACATGTCTGATTTCATGGCCCAATATCACCAATAAGACCTGCACTTGGAATGGGTTTCACAAACTGTTCTCTTTTGATGTTACCCTTTGAGCTCATGTGCAATTAGGAATTTTTTTGCTTACAAAGTAAGCATTTTGGGTGTTAAATGAATAGATCCAGACTGAATTCCAACCATTTAATGCAGGTCTTTTTGAAGGATATTGGGAGAACCCAAAGGGAAGGAAATAGATATTTTTCTTGAAATATATGTGTGGTATTATGTTTGGGTACACCTCTATCCATTGAAGGGGGAAATGAGTTTCCCTTGGTCATGGTGTAGCTTCTATATCTTAAAAAAAAAGCCCTGAGCAGTTCAGTTAGCGGAGTACAATGCTTAGAACCACTACTTTTAGTGTTCAAATCCCAGTGCACCCAATCAGCCTTTCAATGTTGATCAAATGAATACCATATGTAACAAGTGCTAAAGGCCAGGATGAACTCTGAAACATTCCACTTTCTTTGCTGCCCCTGGGTATTCTATTTCTAAGATGACTTATAAAAACATGACTCAAATAGTTTTGCTTCTTTGTTTAATACTTTTGATTTAGATTTATTAGGGATAGTTACAAGAATGTTAGGGTGCTTAAATCCAACCGCAGACACATGTGGAGTTTTTAATTTCTCTACAGAAGAATTCAGCTGCCAAGTGCAAAGCTGCATGAACCATGCAGAACTAGAGCATAGAGTGGGCTCTTAGTTTTAACGTCTCTTTGTAAGAGGTTTCCTTCCCTGTGTCTCTCTTAAGACCCTTCAGTCACACACACCGTTGACTAAGGGAACACACGTGTGGCTTGATTATGACTCTTCGGAAGTCACTCTCTTCGTGCTGCTCAGCGTTGAAACACGATAGCCTGGCCTCACTCTCCCTCTGATTTTTCTTTACTCGTTGAACTTTCGTTGGCACTGTCACAAAAGCCCAAGATCAGACCAGGTACTGACACAGTGGAGAATCATAAAAAGGAATGGAATTCCCATAACAGGGAAACAGAGAAAGGGCAGAGAAGTGGGACTCAATGGAGAGTTTTACCAGGTTTGAAACAAGAACAATGAGCTGATTCCCACGCTGTAAGATTCAATGAAACACGGGCACAATGGTGAAGAATGCAGGCTCTTGCTTCTCTTGTTAAATGTACCTTTCTCTGCTCTTATTTCGCAGTCACTGAAAATGTGCTACTGAAAGTGATTTTGACATTTATATTGTGCACAAATGTTCAGGTCCCATTCAGTACCAGAACTGACGTTCTTTCTCTGGAATATAATATTTTTAATTAACGTCTTCACAGTTAATTAAATCAATAGACCAGGCATAGACAAATATCAAATGCACATAAAATAATTGTATTTGATATTTACATACTAATGATAGAGCTAAAGATTCACACTACCTTTGCAATCTGCCATATAAAACCCAAACCCTACATTTCTGTCTTTGGATTGCTGCACTGCCTCCTCCTCAACCCACGCTCAACTTCCATCCTCAGCCCTAATGCCCAGTCATTAACGTGAAGGACTTCTGACATGAAAGATGTTATATAAGTGTAAATTGTATGATATTCTTAAAACCGTTTCTATTGTTCAATCGTGGATTTGCAGTAAGATTGCTAAAAAGAGATGTTCATCTACAGTCTTCAGTGACTTGGTGTTTCGTATTTCAGCAGCTTAAAGTTGGAGGTGTATAATTAATCAATAATACACTGTTTGCCAGGTATAAATTAGTCGATTTGGTTGATTGAATTTCATACTCAAAAACTGCAGTTGAGGCACATTATTGATGCTGGATGAGTCTTTGTTTTCTAAAAGAAATGGTGATGAGGAATGCAAGCTCATGTGAAATTGCAAATAATAGAAACAGGTACAATGCATACACTATTCAACAACTGACAATCAATAGATCAGGCATAGACAGCAGATAACTCTGATTTGTGGAAACGGAATAGATTGGTTGGGCACAGCACATTCACATTATTGAAGTAAATCTAAAGCCCTGCTGTACAGTCAGGTCAAATCCATCTTGAATAGCACAAAATGCACACAAGTGGAAAATTGCTTTTTGGCCTTCAGGATTATTGAATAACCGAGGAATGTGGGTCTTGATTTTTAACATAATAAATTGGGAAATATAGCACTGCCGAGCAGTAACACACCGGCCACACACACACACACAACCTCGACTTCACAAAAACGAAATGTGTTCATAAGTATCTAAAGCATTTTAATAACAGCAACGACTTGCCCATTAGTCTCCACACTAGGGGTTCTAAAAATGTCTGACTGAAGGATATACTGTTTGATGTGGTTTCCTTCTGAATCGCCTTTAGAATTAAGTGGAGGAAGGAAAGCAGTTCAGAAAGGTAGCATTAACGAACACAGTTATGATCAGGAGGATTCAAGCGAGCTGAGAGAATATTCAGAGATACCACAGTGAAAAAAGAAAGTGGTAATGTGATCACGTGATGGTGAAAAAAGAAAGGCAGGCACACAGCAAACAAAATACTGCAGAGGAAAAAAACCCATCAGATATGATAGTCTATGCGCTTCACATAACATCTTCTCTCTTTATGTTACAAGCAGTCAGTCGGGTTGCTGGCAATTTTCCTGAAAATGTGACGGATTTGCAATTCTGTATTGGGTTTATATGTTCTCTTGTTAACACTTGCTTCATCACTGTGCAAGACTAAATATTCCACAACATATTTCCTAGTGCTAGGTAAAGCACACATGGCTGAGATGCTGCCAATATATCGACGGGAAAAATATTATTCTATAGATCTCAAACCACTTCCGCAGTGGTGGTTCTTAATCCTGTCTGAGAAAATGCTGCATAATGACTTAATATAGAACCATAGAATTATGCAGCACAGAAGGAAGCCATTCGGCCCATCTTGTCTGTGCCGGCTCTTTGAAAAGAGCTATCCAAATCAATCCCACTCCCCCGCTCTCTCCCTATAGCCCTGCAAACTTGTCCTCCCCAAATAATTATCTACTTCTCTCTTAAAAGTTGTTATCAATTCGGCTTCCACCACCCTTTCAGGCAATGCATTCCAAATCCGAACAACTCGCTACGTTAACAATATTCTCCTCACCTCCCCTCTGTTTCTTTTAACAACTATTTTAAATCGGTGCCCTAGGGTTACCGACCCACCCGCCAGTGGAAATAGTTTCTTCTTGTTCACCCTATTGAATCCTTCATAATTTTGAAAACTTCTATTAAGTCTCCTCTCAACTTTCTCTGTTCCAAGGAGAATAATCCTAGCGTCTCTAGCCTCTCCTGATAACTGAAGTCCCTCATTCCTGGTGCCATCCTGGTAAGTCTCCTTTGCACCCTCTCCAATGTCTTGACATCCTTCCTAAAGTGTGGTGCCCAGAACTGAGCACAGTACTCTAGCTGAAGCCTAACCAGTGGTTTATGAAGGTTCATCATAATATCCTGACTTTTGTATTCTATGCCCCATTTATAAAGCTTTTTTAACAGCTTTATCCACCTGACCTGCCACCTTCAAAGATTTACTTATATGAACCCCCAAGTCTCTCTGTTCCTTCACCCCCTTTAAGATTGTAACATCATCTTATATTGCCCCTCCTTATTCTTCCTCCAAAATGCATCACTTTGCATTTCTCTACATTAAACTCGATCTGCCATGTGTCTGCCCATTTTACCAGTCTATCTATGTCCTCTTGCAGTCTGCTACTATCCTCCTCACCGTTTACTAGTTTTCCTAGTATCATCTGCAAATTTGGAAATTGTACTCCCTATACCCAAGTCCAGGTCATTTATATAGATCAAAAACAGTGGTGGTCCCAATATCGGCCACAGGACACCACTGCACACTTAACCTCCAGGCAGAAAAACAACCGTTCACTAATACTTTGCTTTCTGTCTCCCAGCCAGTTCTATATCCAATGCTGCCACTGTACCTTTAATGCCGTGGGCTTCTATTTTGTTTCCAAGTCTCTTATGTGGCACTTTATCAAATGCCTTTTTCAAAATCCATATATCATCACGTTGTGACAGAAACAAATATTTAGTGGTATTGTTCAACTGTGAAATGTAAGGACAGAAATAAATTTCATTATAAGGGGCAGGATAACCATCAATAAAAATATTAATAATCCTTACATTTGATATTGCGCCTTTCACCTCAGAGGGAAGTCTCAAAGCGCTTCACAAGATTTACTATAAATTGTAGTGTCTGCATATTTTGTAGGTGAACAAGGCAACCAATTTGTGCAGCACAATGGCCCACAGCCATGAAGTGAATGACCAATTTTTATTTGGAGGAATGTTGGCCAGGACACTCGGAGAAACTCCCTTATCTTTTTGAATAGTGCCAAGGAATCTTTAATATCCACCTGAAAAGGCAGACAAACCTTAGTTTAATGTCTCATTCGAAGATTAGCACATCCAACAATGGAGCACATCCCACCAGCACTATACTGGAATGTCAGCTTAGACTGTATTGAGCTTAAAAACATGATGTGGGGCTTGAACCCACAACCTTCTGACTCAGAGGCAAGAGTGCTACCAACTGAGCAGGGATGACACACAAATATTTTGTAAATGAAGTTCTATCTCCATTCTGAAGTGATAAAACATATAATTTTCCAGCCTCGTCTCTGCAGCCTTTGTCTGCAGTTTCCCTTCCCCCAAATAA